AGGCAAATCACAAATTTTCAGTTTTGCTCGAATTATTTTCAACTGCAGGTTCTCTATTTTGGTTACAGAACAAAAAATCAGTGACTACAGCAATGCTAAGCAGTATGATATACTGAGAGGATAAAACACTCCTAAAGAGCATCCATGAGGGTGAGACATCCTCACTTTGGATGCCTCAGAAAAAAGCTCTTACCAGTCCTGTTAGGAAGTCCAATTTACCCAGAAGAAATGGGTGATAGTTACTGCACATACAAACCAGCACAGCCAAAATTAAAACCTGCTTCCGTGTCAGCTACAGGAGCTGCTGCGTTTAAACCTTCCAAAGCCCTGGAGTGAGATGTTTCACCAACAGATTTGGAGCAGAGAGCAGCTGTGAGGAGCTGATCTATAGCACTGCTGCTGCAGCAAGCACAGCCCTGCAGCCCACAAGTCAGAAAAGAAGACCTGTAGATGGATCCATGGGTCAAAATTGGATTTATTTTTTCTCTCCCACACATAACTTATCACAATGACATATTTGCTATACTCCCTTAAGCCCCGCAGGGATGAGGGATCTGAATCATTGATTTTAGAAAATTATTATAAAAATAATGTAGGAAATGGCTTAAGTCTATTTCAATCTACTTATGGGCTGTGGCCTGGCCCCCAGTCAGCAGCTAGGGAATTGGCTGGACAAATCTTTCATACAGGGAGCAGAAGGCCAGAGCTTTGTGAAAAGGCCATTAAAGACCATGCAGAGGGCAAACTGGTCACTCTCAAGGTCACAGCCAGGGGCACTTTTAGACCAGAAGGCACAGCCATTCTTACAGAAAGGCAGCAAAAAGGAGAAAAGCTTCACGTATGGCTTATCATCATGAACTACTGTGGTCGCTCAGATACAGATACCCAGAAACCAAAAAAAGAGTCTAACTGCTTTTGTCCTTGATACATACTGAGAAAGCGCTATTTTTCAGTATCCGCTACAACAGCTTTGCCAGTCTTTGCATAATCTGAATCAGCAACAGCAAAGGAAAGAAATCTCTCGAAACAATAAATCAACACAGCGTGCAAACAGTGCGTGCAGTTTGCAAGTGGCCTCTATTTTTTAAATTCCACTATTTTCTTACTTTGGGCATGACTTTGTTAGCAGACTTCCACACTAAAAAAGCAAATATTAGTTCTTGTATATATTTAATGTTTCAAAATAACCCACTAAGGCTTTTAGGAGAGGAAAAGCTATCTCTACTGCTGCTATCTCTGCTGATATTCACCGTGCCTTTTAATTTCAAGGTTCTAATTCATTTACATGGAAAGAATACTGTTTGTTTCCTTTTTGTTGTGAAAATATAGATTCCATCAAAATTTCACACCAGACTGATTTTTTGCCAAATAAACCTTCAAAATGTTTAAGTATTATCAGGACAATACTGAAAATGCTCAGTCCAGCATGTTTTCCCCGACTTATCTCTGGAGATCAACCACAACCAATCTAGTTGAAAGCTGACAGAAGCAAACAGCTCAATACTCATCCTTCCTGGCTGAAAGTCTTTTCCTTATACTTCTACAAATTTAAATTTGGAAGTGGATTGCAAAGCTGTTACCACTGAGAGGCCCAGCCTTTCACCTTACTGGTGCATTTTTCTTATACCTCGCAGTGAAGCCTTGCTACTAGGAGGGCAAACTTTGATTAGGAAATAGATGTCCAGTCTAACTTAACAGAGGCAATGAGGTCCTTTCCTGTGTCTCTTATGATTCCTGAAACAGCCCAAGGGATACAGGTTTTCCATACTCATCTGCAGTTGCACATGGCTGGGATGCATCCTCTTCTGGGCTTCTCCAGTAGCCAGGCTTCAGCCACAGAGCCTTCAGGGTCTTCATCAACTGGCTTTTCTCCTGGACTCCCACCTGGCCCAGGCCAGGACTCCATTGAGATCCCAGAACAGTTTCCTTCAGGGAACAGCATGCTCTGGGTCTTGAAGAGATGATTTCTAAATTTGAAAAACTCCTAAATCACACCACAACCCTGGCTCCTGCCAGCCTGCAAACTCAGAGCTAGAGGAACTTCATAGGTTAAAAATGCCTTTTACAGACTATGCTCTTTCTTCTCCCATCAACTCTAGGCTGTTATCTCTGGTGCTTTCTTAAAATGGATTCTGACTTGCCACAAAGCAGGCCATCAGGCAGCCCATCATTACCCTTTCATGCCCTTCTGGAACTCTGCACTGCAGAAGCACTTAGTCATGCAGGTCCATCCACCCGAGCAGCACAACGTCTGCTTTTGCTCATCTTCACAGCCCAGCATCGAGGCCTGATTTCACAGCATGGTTTATTCTTGCTGTGCTTCTGGGACATTGAAAACCCCCAGGAGCATCAGGGTTTCAAAGCCTCCGTAGGCTCTCTGCCCATTTCTGAGTCTTTGCAAGGAGAGTGAGCTGTGTGTGCCACACGAGGGTGCTCAGAAAGCATGGTACAGAGGATGCTGCACAGCAGAGCAGCTCTAGCTTCAAGGGTGACTGAGGAGGAAACATTTGCTGGTGCTGCATTCAACACAGAGGGTGGAGCTGGTTTTTCTCTACCCTTCAGACTAATGCTCCAGAACCCAATTCCCCCCTGACTGTCTTTATTTCACTCAGTTGATGTATATCCACTGGCAAGGTGCAAGAGTAGAGAAATGTCTGTCAATGTTCACAGTCACAAATACAGTGGGATTAAAAGAGAGGGTGAGCATAAAGAGTGGTGCAATTCCTTGCTTCATGGAGCATTTTATTGCTTTTCCTGATGCTAACAGATTGATGCTATTGTGCTTGTTAGCATGGTCAACTTTTATTACTAGACTATTAAGAGTTTTATCACTATATGGATCTTTGAGATTCTGAGGGAAAGTTTTTCCTCTAGATTCACAACCCACCTTTAAAAGCCTATACTAATACAGTGCACTTGTTTTTGTCTCCCAGCACACTGAAGGCAGCATTTGAGAGGCTCAAGCAACGTAAGTTTTTACAAATACCTTTCTGATCTGGGTAAAACTGGCACACAACGTGTTCATCCCCTCTGGGGTATTTCATCCTCTTCTCCACTCTATTTCCAACTTTTCTGTCGTGGTCTGTAGCATGGAGAGTGGAGCAAAAGGACACCTGCTGGGAGTCCCCAAGGCCAGGTACTCTCCAATGGCAACAAAAGTGGCTTGTTCCTCAAGTTAGTTTTATCTGGATCAAGTCACAAAATATCAATTCTGTTCCCCCTTCTGCAAACTGCTGACATCAAAACAGCATGTTTTCTAAATGTGCCCAAGGCTAAAAAAAAACCTTTCACACAGAGAAAATGCAACACCATCACAGCCAACAGGACAGCTTACCTGGCTACTGGCACCTGCTGTTTTCATAAAAACACCCTTTTGAAAAGCAGCTGGTGAATTCAGGTATTTTTAGAACCGGGATGGGGGAGCTCAACATTGCTGGGAAACGTGGGGTTCCATTTCAGAAGCACCAAAGCCGACAAATGCAGAGAAGTGTGGATTGGCGACCTGCAGAGCAGGATGGCAGGTTTTGTTAAGTTTGGACAATCAACGCGGCTGAGGTTTTTCTTGTAAGCCTGAGAAAATTCACAAAAGTATCTATCAAATAGCAAATGTTTATAGTTAGTGGATTCTGTTGGCTGCTCGCCTGGACAAGTATGTAAACATCGGCAAAATTTCTCACTACAACTCTGAGCTATCCCAGAGTGGACAGGGCGCATGGACAGAGCGTGGACAATGATTATTATCCAATCGGTAATTCAGCTTAGGCATATGAACAGGCTTGTTAACCTATGGAGTTTGGGGGGCTGTCTCTTGGCTGCTAGAAAAGGCTGTAAAACTTTGCAATAAACGGATTTCACGGCAGACCCCCTGGAGTGCTTCTCTTCTCTCCGGAGCCCCTTCCCGACAGAGAAGTTACCAGCTACGTCAAACAGTATCAGCCAGGTGCTCTGAAATTCAACCCATCTTTGCTGACCCTTGGAAATTATCAGCTTGTAACCTTGTCTCATGACATTAGTGCAAGGCTGGACGCAAGTGGCAAGCAGCTCATAAGAGCAATGACAATCCAGCAGCATAGTGGAAGAATAGCAGACACAGGGGTGATGATGCAGTGCAGAGCTCCTTCCCTCCCCCTGCACCAGTTTATGACCTCCAGCTCCAGAAGAAAGGGGGGTGGCTGGGTTTAATGGGGCTGTGAAGAAAAGCCTCTGCACTTGCCAAGCCTGCTCTGAGTGGGTGCTCCAATTCTGCAGCAAGGACTCTTGTTTATGCATTTTGCAGGCACTGAGAGGCCCTGTGATAAGTTATGTGAACTCTCAGCAATGTCAGTGCCTGCAGAAAAACAGGGAAGCCTTTTGTAAGGCTGCTCTGTTCATGACAAGTCATACAGCTGCCACACCCCAGAAACATCTCCTGAAAAATGTGACTTCATATTTAAAAAAATTTCCACTGACTTTATATGAATTCTGATTTGCTTTAGAAATTGAAAGTGTTGGAAATTCTCATATCCAGCTGGCAGTAATGCTGAAGGATGAACTGAAAGGGATAGAGGCGTTCCGAGAAAGACAGAAGGAGCAAAGAAAAAAGGTGAGGAACTAGAGAAATGTTGAAATGAATTGGTCAATGGTCCATGCTGATGACCTGCCTCCAGCCATAGGCTGTGAATACTGCTATAGATGCTAAACATGCCCAGTGTGCCCTGTTAACTCTATATACGAGACTGTGGAAGAAAATCTCTCTCTGATCCCAGCTGGAAATAAAGTAGTGCTCTGGACTCAGGAAAGAGAGGCTTTAGTCACTTTTACTCTCTCCTGTGTAACTACAGATACTATTATTATTCCTTTAAGAACTTAATCCTTCCTTTTCTCTTTTTTTATACCTTTGCTAATTGGGTTTCTTTGGTATGATCCCGTGTGATCTCCAACATGGTCTAAAATAAAGGGGTAACACAAACATTTAAAAACATAAAAGCAAACAAATATCATGCTGAATGCAACACCAATATATGCTGAATTAAAAATACGTGGAATAAACAGCATCTAGTTGGCGTTGTATAATAAAAATCAGAGTATATTTAAGGCCACTTAATCCTCTCTGATCTCGTCAAGCTTTAAGTCCCTTGAAAAAGTAGCCCTCTGTACAAACAACAGTGGTCGCTCTTACACCTCTAGTTCCACAGGGCTGAAGACAGGACAGTCATTTTGCACTGAAAGCACCAACTGATGGAAGAGTAAAATAAAATATCCAGTTCCTTGCTAATTTGAAACAAGTGAAAATGCTTATGACAAGCACCCAATGCCATCAATATCTTGTGCCTACAGCTCTGGCACACAGGAACATGCAATATCAAGGAGCTCTAAATAAGAGAGTGGGTAAAACCAGTGCTGCTGCTGAGATTTGAGGTCCACAGAGATCTGATGAAGCAAATAAGGCATATAAAAGACAGACAGCGTGACCTTGCTCATCAGCATTTGTATCCTCTGTGCCACTTTGCCACTAGGATTTACCAAAAAAGAGAGGCTTTCTTTGCTGTTGAAAACCATAAGCCTATAACTCAAGTGGAAACCATTAGAGGAGCCTGAAAAAAACAGGGTGAAAACTGCTTTGGAGTTTAGGCAAGCTTTTATTCTCTGTCCAGCACGTGGCTGTGAGGAAGTCAACATTAGATGTGCTAGATTGTGTCAGCATTTTTGGTAATCTCCCAAACACTGTGATCTGTGTTTCACTGTAGCTGCTCTCAGGACTTTGCTATTCAGCCCAACGTGAAGCAAGCCTCTCGGTAGCCCCGGAGAGCATTTTGCTTAAGCAACACACAAAGATTAAAGGACCAAAATTCGCACTGAAGAAACCCACACCCTGCCAAGTAGGAGCATATCTCAGTGTCACATGAGGCTGGGCATATCATAACTAAAGCCATGAAAGAGAATTCAGCTCTGCCCTTCCAACACTGACTAGATGATGGTAAGGAAAGCAAATTGCATTGAGCATACATTGGCCAGAAGCACTGGAATATAGATTACACAGAAATTAGTTTGTATTTAAAATGGACAACTACCCTTGCTCACATGGGTGAGACTGTGGTTTGGGTCTGCAAAGACAGATGAGAGATCAGGCTCTTGCACAGGCAAAGGAATTCTGCTGGCAGAGCTGATGGGCACTGGGACTGCTACGTTATTTAATCTCCTTAAGAAAAAAAAAAAAAAAAGAGGAAGAAAATTAAGATCTACATCCTCTCTGCTATTAATGGAAACCACTGAAGCAGAATTATCTTGGATTACACTTTTTACCTGGCACTTTGATGCTCTCTGTATCACATAGAAACCTGTCATTTATAAAAGCAGAGTGAAGGAATTTTCCCCACAGGCACGTGGCTTATAGAAAGGCTGTGGCAATGGCTTTCCTAATCCTGCCACTAAAAAAAAGGCGAGGAATAAGTCCAAAGCAAGGAATGCTTACTTCTGTGTGTTTCTTACAGTACGAATCTGCAATGGAGCACGTGCACAAGAGCAAACTCTCCTTTTATAAGAGAACAATGGAGGTAAGCAAGGAGGTTTTGTGCAGGTTCCTTGATGCAAATTCGCTCCAGTTTGAGACAGGGTGAAATCTGGACCACACATGTACCTATATTTAAAGAAAGGTCAAGAATGTGTGAGCGTGCAAGAGTGTGTGAGAAAGAAAGGATATGATTCCTGCTAAGAGGAGGAAGCAAATCATCCCTGTCTTGTACACTGAAAAGCCTCCAAAACAAACACTTAGAAAGTTAATATGAATGAGCAACTAAATTTTTTCTAGGCAAGAATACTTACAGGAGCAAATGTTATTTTTCAGCCTGTGTAAATACCATTTTTAAAATAGTGCAGGAATCTTGTGAACAGGAGGAAACCTCTGTGCTTGGAAAGCTCACAGGCACAGGAACTAAAGGCAGCTGGTTTTGGTTTCCAGTGGGCAGCTGCCTCTAAAGAAAAGTAGCTGCAGACTACTGTCAGTGCTTACAGATGGAACTGTATTAACAGCTTTTATTTAAATGTGGTTGTTCCTAGGGAATCTCTAAGACAGGGAGGTCTTTTGGTGCAAAAAAGGATTTTTGTTCCTTCTAAGGACTACACTGAGACCATTATGGGGTGCTGGCTCTGTCTCACAGCTTGGAGCAATGGGCAAGGTAACACAGTGACTTCAGCCACCTGATGCTCCAAGTGACACTATAGAAATGACAGCCCATCCCCACCAGCACCCTGGGAATGTGCACTCCTAATTTTGTCTCTACACTGTAGCTTGGACAGATGCCTGATGCACTGATGCTGCTTGAGCTGCCTGAGTATTTGTGACCACCCCTCCAGGGAGCTGGCTGCAATTGTACAAAGCAAACCACTTCATGGCTGCAAGAAAAGGACCCAATCTATGCTGGTAGCCCCTACTCCCGTTTTTCAGTTCTGTTTTTCTGTCTTCTTATGGTGTTCCTTGGGAATTTTTTCTGTTGCCCAAACTTGGGCACTGATTTGCTTCCCTAGACTGCAGAAGGGAAAATGTCTAGAACATCACGCTGGAGACAGCCCAGCCTTGTTCCCTAACCCAAACCCTCACATTTGATTTCATTTCAATACAGTCAAAGAAGACCTACGAACAGAAGTGCAAGGAGGCGGATGAGGCTGAGCAGTCCTTTGAACGGACAAGTGCTACAGGCAACCAAAAGCAAACAGAAAAGGTACCTCAGATGGCAGTGCTACTTAGAGAGAAAACTGTGAAAAACTGGTGTTTTTTCCTTTTCATGGTACAAGAGAATACACTCAAACAACTCATTCTGTGGGATGCCAGTGGCTGCTTTCTCTTCTAATTGACCCCTCAGAATCAAAATTAAACCAAAGCACCTTCCCAAGGAGGTCTTCCTTCACAAACTCCTTTGGTGACTCTGATCTTGTTCTATGATAGGCCAAGGGTTTTAAAAAAAGTGGGAAGGGACTAAGTTATCTAATTAATTTATCTCCAGCTATGATCTAATTGCTGTAAGAATCCTGAAGGAAAACTGAATGAGATTTTTCTCTGAAACTATTTATAAAAAAACAAACAACAACCCAGTCGGAAGTATGTCATGCAGTCAGTTTCAGTTTTGCCTTTTGTTCATTTACATTTAGCAGGCATAGTATCTTACATTAAAATGCATATTTTTCCTCAACATTTTTCTCCTTACGGTTAGTTTAATTTCAGCTAAATTTACAAACTCAAAAATAAATCATTGGAAATTAAGGCACTGCAGTCCTTCATTGCATCGTCTTGATACTTGTAGCTGACAATTCACTAACTTTTAATGGGAACATTTTACAGCAGAACAGATGGAGAAAACAAAATAAATGAACTCCCTTTGGCTCAATAAAAATCAGTGCGGTGTAAGCAAAAAGGATCTAAAATCATCTCAAGGAGCTGGGGGTGGGTGGGTGGGTGGGGTATAGAGACTCTAAAAACAGCATCAGAACTTCACATTTTATTTCCAGCATTTACTGATCTTTGATGAGCAAAACCCCTCCAGCTTAGCTGTAAAGAGGGAATGAAATCTTGGCCCTACTGAAATTACACCAGAACACTTAGCAGCTTCAATGGCATCAGAGTCTGACCGGTCTCCTTTCATGCAGAAGGATCCCAGGGTGCTTCGTTGCCATTACTTCCACACACATGCCAGCACACTTGAAATGCACAGAGGCGACTCACAAGAAACACGTCAGCTCTTTAATTCTGCCTAGCACTCATAAACAGTTTGAGCCAGGAAGCAATAAGAAGGAAGCTTATGTTCCGAGCTCACTGCACTTTCTCCAGACAGCTGTGATGAGAAATGTGGTCGTAAGAACCCCTACCTGAGCCTTGTCTTGAAGGGCAGAACAGAAGAATGTATTACACGGATGCATAGAATTGTGCATTAATGTGCTGTCATCACCATCTGTGCCGAAAGATCTTGGAGTACAGAGCTGTCAATAATAGCTGTATTTTCATTTGTTAAAAGCTGCAAGTTTAAAAAAAAAGTTCTACTTAGAGTGAATTCTGCTTATAGGCTTCTGAGTTGTTATGGGAAATAATCTGGCATTTGCAAAGTATTTTAAAGGCTGTGTTCTTTGCATCTCTGTGCTACACGCGGATCTTGGAAGATTAATTCTAACTGCCGTTTATTTATGTTTATAAATATCTATTAGAAAAGCACATCAAACACTGGAGAAAAAACAACTCAGCCAGCAGACACAAGCTTCAGGCTGGATCATGCCAGCACCAAGCTCCTATGGCGGGGAAGTCTGAATGGAAACACATAAATTGCCAGATTTCCCTCAAAGTCAGTAGACCTATGTCTGCAGCTGTGAAATTCTGGTCACTTCTCCGTAGTATACATTCAACAGATCCATGCATAAAGGTGGGGCAGCCAAGAAGTGTTCACATATTTGAGCCTTATTCCTAGAAGGGGCAAAGGAGCAGGCAACGCAAAAACTGTGGCAGAAGCAAAAAATAGGGTCAGAAATTAATTTGGGGTGTTTCTTTTCCTGTTTCAGAGTCAGAACAAAGCCAAGCAATGCAGAGATGCAGCAAATGAAGCAGGTGATGCTCTTTTTTCCAACTGACCTAAGAATTTTTTCAGCAAAGATCCACCAACACACTGATTTTGATAAAGCACCATCCAAATCACCCAGGCTGGCTCTGTCTGAAGTCTGTTGAAAGTCAGCTACCCAAAGATTATTGAAGAAGCTTCTAAAGAATGGCAACCTGATAGTCATCTACATTCACTTTCCCTTGTGAAAATGGGAGTCTCCTGCTTTCATTAAAGAATTTATAGAAGAAACCCTTTAGGGACTTCACCCAAAAAAAAAACCAACAACAAAAAAACAACAACAACAAAAAACTCATCATGAAGCAAGCTCAAAAGCATAAAAGAATGACACTCGAATTTCCCCTAGCCAGCCCGAGCCAGACACAGAGTCCCCAGGTTCCATGTACATGAACACAGTAGCATTCTTCTGCCAGAAACACAGTATATATCCAGAAGGACAGGCCAGCAGACATCTGAGCTCCTTCATGAGTTCAGACTTGTCTCTCACTGTTCATGTAATGTTTTACACTAAGTCACGTGGCTTACCTGGCTGGCTCAGCACTAAAAGAGAGCAAGGATGCTCAGTGCCCAAGCACAGTCCAGGCTCTTCATCTCTGATTTGCATTATCCCCACTGTAAAGATTACAGATGATCTGCAAACCATGTCCAGAGGGAATCCTTACTCTAGTAAAAGCTGCAAAGAAAAAAAACAAATATCCTTGTGGCCCACTCCTTTCAAGCTGAAACATCTTTGTGATACTGCAGCAAAGCACCAGCCTAAAGCGTAAGAACCACAGCAAAGTCCTCATAGGAGGAAAAAGACAATGTCTGCCCCATTTTTTCTTCCTAACTGTTGGATTTCTATTATGTGTCTGTGTTTACAGAGAAAGTGTACAAACAGAACATTGAGCAGCTGGATAAGGTCAGGACAGAGTGGGAACAGGAACATATCAAAACCTGCGAGGTAAACATTGACTTTTGCACCGATCTATTTGTGCATTCTTTATTTTATCCTGCTTGCAGGTATTGGTCTAAGACCTGAGATATCATCTCAAGAGTTTTGCTATTTGCTTTATGTGGAGTCTCAGCAGATGTCTTTGCAAAAATTGTGCAAAAACTAGACTTGATTTAGATGTAGCTGCTAGCTGTCTCACTTGCTGGCACTCTCCTTGCTTGTTCAGCCTGTATATGTAAATATAAAGGAGGGGAATAGGTGCAGAGGTGTGAGAAGTGGAGCAATATAAGAACAGGTATGAGCTATCTGCAGGCATCTGCTGCCAGTTATCAGCCATTAACTTAAGAATTAACATTAACATAAGAATACATGAGCTTTAGGGACCATCTTCTATTACAGCCAAGATAAGGTTGTTTCTCAAATAACTACTTTGTGACAAAATGTAGTTTCAGTAGAAAATAGAAATACAGATGTGAAAATTCACTTTTAGTTTAAAAAATTGATTTCAAAATTGAAACAAGAATTTAATTAATCAAATAAAATTGAACAAACAAAAGATTCCCTTTAGATTATGGTTTACAAGAGGCTTCTAGAAAGGCTTCTTGTTCCAGTGCAGGAGAGATTTTTGTGGTGTGTGTGGTTTTCTGGTTGTATGTGTGTGGGTTTTTTGTTTGTTTGGTTGTTTTGTTTTTTTTTTAAATCTTACCCATTCAATGGTGATTAAAAATAAAATTTCCTGCCTAAGCTAAAAAGGTATGCACCGTAGCATTCTGAGAGCAGAGATATCCAAGCCATTCACAAACTTCATTTTGCATAGCATCTACAACAATATTTGCACTCTGCTGTGGAGCAATCTTTCAACTGAAAGGTGGTGGTGGAAAAGACTATTCCATTATGCTGAGGATGAACAAGGGGATTTGCACAGGAACTGGTTGACATGCAAATTGTCCACACATTTGATCATATTAATTCTTCAAATACATTTGTTCATCTGCTAAAGTATGATTTTGCTACATTTACTTGTTGCAAGCTTTATCTGCACATAAAATAAAATGCCAGGAACATAGCTTTCCAGTTCTCTGCTTCCTCTTAAATATTCCCTACCTGGGAGGACTGGAAAGTCCCACGGGTGGCACAGCAGACTTTCCACAGAATGTGTGCCAAGCCTTAATTTTCCCAAGATGCACGTTGTCCTCTTCCTTAAAAAGCCAACAAACAAATGAAGCGTTCCACAACCTAACACGCTTCATTTGTCCCATGTGGATAAATTCTGAATAGTCTGTGGAGCCTGTGACCTACCCACTGCTTTATTAAAACAACCATTCAGAAAGGAAGGGCATTTTAATGCCTTCTTTTAAACATGCTTCTAAACAGAGGAACTGATAGATATTTTTAGGCACTTAAAACTAGTAACTAGTAAAAAAAAAAAAGGCTTAAGTTCCCAAACTTCTGGCTGCATAGCAGGGAACCTGGAAGTGCTGAGGTTCTGTATGTCTTCAGCTGAGCACTGGACATCAACAGCCCAAAAATATTAGCTAGCAAGTGGCAGCACTGGGATGACCTTCATCACAGGTGCTGTGCCATATTCCTTGGCACGAGATACCCAGGTTCACTAGCAGTCTTGCATGAGGAATGTGTCTAACACTACACTCAGCTGTTCTTTGCAAAGGGCTTGACAGGCCCAGAGTCACCATGCTTCCCTCTTTCACAAGCTGCGTTTCCAGTCAGGACACCATTTGCCAGGAGAATTCCCAGCCTGCTCTTGTGCTATTTCAGCAGCCCCTAGGGTGCTAGGCTGCAGCCATAGGCTGTTTTGTTCAGAATGGATATTGAAATACTCATTCTCGATCCTTCAGGTTCTCTTTAAAAGCTTTCTTGCTCAGAAACTGGTCCCAATGCCAACTTACTCCCTTGACGGACTATTTTCTTTATGCTTTTTTTTTTGCACGGCAAGATATTAGATGGCGGGCAGCGTACCCAACAGAATGTTCTGCTGAATATTGTACACATTTGTGGTGTTCTGGACATAATTACTAGCAAATGGAGATGGAAACAGATGGCTGGAAGCATCTGAACATTTTGCACCTCATAGAAAACCAAAAATTGATGTTCTACTTATAACAGCACAACTTACAGATCAGGGTGGTTGTTTGGGGCTGGTTTCTTTTTTTTTTTTTTTTTCTCCCTTTTTTTTTTTTCCTTTTTTTTTTTTTTTATTTTTTTAAGAAGAGTTTATCTGCCTCTTCCTCCAACTCACTTTTCACTTTTCTCTCCTCCCTCTTCATTCCTCCCAAGCTGTGCAACAACATGAAAAAAAAAATCAGACAGAAGAAGAGAGTAAACCTTGAAGAGAGAAAAATGCCTTCTCTTTACCATGAAAATAACCTCAGAAACAAAGAGAGGCAACTCCTGAGAGCCTCAAATTGTTTCAAAACAGAAAAGTTTGAAAAGACATATTAGCAGGCAGAGATAGATAGTTTTGGCTCTAACTTAAACACAACCCTTTCATGCTAATACACTACTGATCTGTTAAACATCCAGGTTTCAGTGTGACAGACAGAGGACCCTGACTTAAATCGTCAGCAATGGAGGTCACAGTCAAATCCAGATCCCATTTCCTCTCCCCTACTTTATTTTTGTCTATAAAACATAACTTTATTTTTATGCAATCAGTTAAAATAAATTCTTGAGCACAAACAAGTAGATGTAGTTTCTCCCGTAGCTGAAAAGACATCCTTTACAAAGGATCCTTGAGAACAGCTTGCAGACTAAAGAGCTTGGCCCAGATATGCCCCAGCCCTGGTGCTGCTTGCAATGCAAATAATAACTACCATGAGACTATATATGTCACATCTCCTCTTTGGCTTTAGGTCTTCCAGCTCCAGGAGTGCGACCGCATTGCCGTCCTCCGCAACTCACTGTGGGTTCATTGCAACCATCTCTCCATGCAGTGCGTGAAGGATGATGAGGTAGGGACACCTGTCCAGTTGCTTCACACATGAAGGAGGAAGAGCAGGAGCACGAGTGCTCTAACAATACCAGAGCCCCAGCTCGCCCTTCTTCGTGCGTGCTGTCTGTCTCTAGCAAACTGGCTGTTGAGCATGATCAGTGAGGGGGGAGTATCCTCAGTCTGTCTTGTTCCCTCTGGATGTAAACCAGACATATGCCTGGATGTAGACAGTCTGTGTCAGACTTGGTGGCACTCACATGTCTCCTCTCCTCAGTTTGTTGGAGAATGCCTCCAGCTACTAGAATGCTCAGTCGAGTATACTTGGGCTCAGGCACAACTTTCAGAAAGGCATCCAGTCCTGGCCTCAAAATTAAAAGACAAAGAATACACTGCTTTTACTTTGAATGGTTGTTTTCTGCTATTAATTTCTTTATTACATTGAAAAACTCTGGACTGCCTTTGTCCTTCTTTCTTAGAAGGATATCCAGAGCACAAATAAACAACTGTATCTGCAAGAATACTTTGTACAGGGGACAGGCGAAAGATTGAGCCAGGTCAGATGTGTACCAAGTATCAAGTATCTCTTCAGAGGAAAATTATTAGAAGAGCATTAATTGTTAATTCAGTGTGGCATGTTAAAAATGAAAGTAAATTATTGGATTCTGTTTTGTAGCTGTACGAAGAGGTTCGCGTAAGCTTGGAGGACTGCATTGTAGAGTCAGACATAGACTACTTCATTAAGACTAAAATGACAGGAACCCAACCTCCAGGTAATTATTCCTATCGGTCTTGTCAGACGAGTGACACGTTAGGCTGAGGCTGCAGTTGTGCTGTACATGTCCTTTGGAGGTGAAGCCAGCTGGAGGAGCTTCTGCTCTGGCTATTCACTGCCACCCACTGCAACTCACCACACCCTTACTGTGCCCCCATTGCTCCTAATGTGGCACTAAGTGGGATAGTTGAATGATCCATGTGAAAAATAACCTGGCAAAAAAGACTTCTTTTAGCTTTGCACCCAGGCTGACTTCATGGTTCAGCCAAACTGACACTGCAAAGGGGGTGGCAAACTGCCTTGCAGAGATGGCAACCTCAGTTTCCTTCAGGGGTGACAAGTCAGAGCCAACTGATCATATAACTGCACCCTAGTATCCCCTTGATAGAGATGCTGCCCCTACATTTGCAGCACACAGAGGACAGACTTCGTATTCTGTTTTGTTCCACCTGCCCAATGGGGAATAACGTCTTTTGTCCTCTCAGGAAGTTGTTTGTATAAGGGCAAGACTCTGTTTGGGGGAAAGTTTGAATGAAATTGGCTTTGCCCCAGCATGCAGAAGCGACTAGGGTTCACAGACTGCCCATTCAAGCCAAAGGAGCCTTTTCATCAACTTCAACCATGAAAACCTCTGGGCTGAAATGGAGACTGAGACAGAAAAGGGCTAAGAGTAGTTGTAAAATGAAAACATGCTGCTCCAGGGTACTATTTCTCCTAATACATGATCAGAAAGGAGGCCATCTAATGTTTCACATGACCAAATACTAAACCACATGCTCTTCCTTGAATGAGCAATACAAGATAGTTACAGACTGGGTGAATGCCTGCACTTGGTGCAGCTGCTTCAGTAAACAAAGATTCACAGTCTTTGTAAAAGGAGAGAGCAATCCCTCTTTCAGCTCTTCAGCAGTTGATGATAAGTACCTACGCTGAAAAGTTCTCTCCCTCCTCTTTCACCCTCCCTCCCCCCCCTTAAATCTGTCCACAGATACTGTTTTCACTTCCACTCTGTGCTCTAACACTATACTGCTACCTCAGAAAGAAAATCCCTTTAGAATTTCCTCAGCAGTATCTTCCATTCCAACTGGGGAATAAGTGACATAAGAAAATTTTATACTGATAAAAATCAGGAGTTGTATAGGTACAAACATCTACAGTGTGACTGCCCTGTCCCAGGGGAAAACTACCTCATACAGGAACAGCTTACACCCCTTTGGTTTGATTGCAGAGCTCAGAGCTGGCAGCAGTTATGCCCCAGAAACTTATCCAGCAGAGCTGGACCCTGCCGCTACCTCAGCGCTGAGATACCCAAGGCCTGGCTTTCACTCAGCCGTTCTGTCATAACACCTATGATGATTAAGAATTGGGGTTTGGGGAATTTAAAAAAAAAAAATAAAAAAAAAAGAACATATTGGTACTAGCACACTAGATGCCATTTTGCTGCGATAGTTTATTCTTTTTCACACAGGTGATTTAAATTCACTGATACAGGAGCATTTACCAAGGAAAAACTACACCTTCACTGGCAGAAGAGAGACCTGTGCCTTCCAACAGTGTGAAACAACTCCTGTAGACTAAGAAATTTGTAATCCTCAGCTTGTTGTTTTTTTTTTTTTTCTCTTTCCTGTGTGAGATTTCTTATTCTCCAGTGTCCTAGGCAATTTTCTGCAAATAGGTTTTGACTATGTCAAGACTCATTTCTGATAAGAAATGGGTGGGGAAAATCCTTGAGAGCTTTATGAAAGGCAAAGAAACAACTGATTTGCTTTTTTGTTGTTTTGGTTTAGTTTTTTGTTTGTTTGGTTGGTTGTTTTGTTTTGTTTTGGTTTTTTTTGCCACCTTCTAGAAGGTGCCACATTCTGGAAGTACCATCCTAGTGTCTCCACAGCTCTGGCTACTGAGTTTGCACAGTAGCACACGGTGATGGTGAGCTGTCGATGTTTTTTTTATTCGGAAAACACAGGAGGAGACCCACGGGTGGTTTTGCACTGTGTAACGGAATACCTTCACCCTGACCAACCCTTTTGATTTCTGGATGCTATTGCTCACCCCCCTCTTCTCCCTAATTTTACAACGCATTGCAGACTATAAACTACACCAAGGTAACAATCTAGAAAGGTAATAGAAGACCCCTTAAATTGGTAAAAAAAGTCCCTAATTACAGTGAGTCTTATTTGTAAGGATTCTTCACACTCCCTAGTTGTATGTGCCCGCTCTGCTTATGATCTTGGCTGACCCAATGTGAGAATGTCAACACAACCTTTAGCCCAAGTCCAATGTCTTTCTTAATTTGCTGGTATCAGAACTGAGATTAGATAGTATCACAGACCTGACTCATGTTTATTTGGCTTTAACACAGAGAAGACAGAAAGGGCATGTGGCCACCAGCTTTAAGCAACTACGCTGGGAACTATGAGATGAAAAATAAATAAATCCATCTGTAACTATTTAATCTGTAAAGCTGGACTTGGAAATGGCCTCAGTTTCACCCTTAACAACACCATAGGGGAGAATGAAAGAACTGTAACATAACTGGGTTTGAGAGAACAAAAAACAAATATCTCTGGGTAAACAGCAAATCAGCTCTCAGGAGGCAGAAGGGGGAGGTAGGAAAAGTAGGGAGATGCTCAAGCACAAGCACTGACCAGGAAATCACTCATTATTGATGCTGGCAATAACATCCAGAACTCTTCCCAGCTCTGACAAAAATTCATGACATTAAGAAAAAAAGAAACAAAAGACACTGCAGTCAACTGTATCATGAACGTGGTCCTGGGCTCACAATGACTGTGCTCTGCTGCCTTAAATCCTGAGCTTTAATGCAACAGAGGAAGCAGGCATGGAGGAAACTGCCTTCTTAATTAGGGTTAGCCACATCTATCAGAATGGTTCTCCAGGACCTTGGCTGTCATCTCAGACCAAGCATACCTTTCTACCAAGGATGTATCTGCTTACTTACGGTCATTTGAATGGCTTTTGTCAAGTCCACAGCTTCCCCTGAGCTGCTCCAGCCACACTCCAGGCAAAAGCAGACAGCTGCTGTATTGCAGGTTGCTCCAGCAGCCCTGACAGTTGCGACTGTTGCATTCTGGTGGGGAGAAAAAAGTTTTGCCTGTCTGAACATCTCATTTTTATTGCCCTGTTGCAGATGCAATAGGATACGAGAGCTACTACAGCCGAGAACCAAACAGAGGCAATAGCAGCCCTACCCAGTCTTGTGGGATGATGAAGAGGTGAGTGGCAAACTTTAGTTTCCAGAATAGGAATTTCTCTATATGAGCAGCAATGTATGAAGACAGGAAACAGGACCTGAAAAGCTATTACTTCATTGGAGTAAGAGGCAGCTATGTAATCGGTAAACAGAACTCATCAGAAGAAGTAAACCTATTGAAACCAGGGTCAGAGTGATATTGCCAGGGCCTAATGGGAAGAGAGACAGGGAATGAGTTCATAGAACAATTAGTTGGCCAGCAATGGATAACAGTCACTAATTTCCTCTTTCCTAGCGAGTCATAGCACACAGGAACAAACCCACTTTGTTCAAGGGAGGGCAAAGGTGAACCTTGCTGGAAGCAAAGGCTGGGAGAGCTGTCTTTTTCAGCAATACCTCCTGGCTTACTGCTCACCGCCCAGCTGAGCGGAACAAAGATCTGCTCTCTGTATCCAGAATAAAAGAAAAAACACTTAGCAGAGTAATTGTTGTGAAGTAATTGGAGTTTTGCACCATGAGCCTTTGGATCAACATCAAAATACTATCTGATGCATTTTATGCAGAACTTGGAAATGCCTGATGGTTCATTATTCTGCTGCATTTTTTTTAAATGTATTTTTAAATGAAGCTAAATATATCTACAGCATAAATGAAAACAGTCAGCCACAGGAAGATGTGACATCTACCCAGTGCTGCAGCAGATGGAGAGAAGGTTGAGTCAGACAGCTGAGGGGAAGGAATGCTCATACTCAGTCCTGTTCACTCATTTGGTTATTGGCTTCTCTTGGTTCTGCAGATTCTCTGAACTACTTCATGGAAGCAGCAAAAACAACACAGAAAGTGTCACTCCGTCAGCCCCTCCTCTTGGTATGCCTCTTCAAGAAATAACGTTACCAGATGTGTTTGGTTTAGATCGCATTCCTAAATCAAGCTTTGACATGGAGCAGAAATGGTGCAGCGTGTTGGCAGATGAGAGCAAGAGTAGTCTGGAAGGAAATTTTGCTTCAATGTGTATTAAACAACTTTCTCAGTTTATAGCACCAAATAATCCAGATAATCTTCAAAACCTCTGTCTAGGCAAGTAGGAGCTGTACATTCAGAAAGCCACAGTCTGACTCAGATAACAATTTTGTCCTAAGGCCGAACACACTATCTCTAAAAAGCCCAAGAGAATACCTAAAGTTCTTAATAGACAAGGTTCATGCCTTAGGAATGCAAATATCCATCTCCTTTCACAGTTACACTGTCTTATTGTAACTTGCAACTAGGCATTTATCAGATGACTGTTTAAAACATAGTATTTTGACTATGCAGAAAGTAACACCTTATGACATTTTTATTGATTTGATTTAAACCAAAACCATTTTAACTGTGATTTGTGCCTACAGAAAATAAAAAGGTGTTTTACAACTGCTTTAAAGCATACCCAAGATGAGTTTCCTTTGTCAGGCCTGCCTGCTCGGGCACCCAGAAATGAAGGCCAGACTATTTTATGGGCTGCTTTTGGCACTCAGCCAGGGGTGACTCTCCAGTGCTAGTGAACAACAGCCATACCTGCCAAGCACTGACTCATACCCAGGCACATGTAGAACACTGCAGCATTGAGCAGTTGAGGCAGTCACTCCTTCTGAATGTCCTTAGGCTGGGGACAGGAGGTGAGAGCGTCTGCTGGACAAGACCCTCAGGAATGGCAAACACTCTGTGTGCTGCTTTTTCAACTGCTCCCATGTTTGTCTTTCAAATAATTGAAAAGTCCAGGAGTGGACAGTGCTCATTAGAGCGGGAGAACTAAACCAGGGATTGACTGGGGGAAGGTCCAGGCACCCCAGCTGCTCCACGAGCTGTCAGAGCACTACCATCCCCCTGAGAAGTCATACGTGGGAAATCTCTACTGACCTCAATGGCAGGGGAAGCTCTCAGGCAGAGGCTGGGAACAGAAAAGAGGTTTCCCTAATAATGAGAAGCTAGATTAAAACAACATCCGTCAAAAAAGTTCTGGCAGTGACAATTAGCTATCTGGGAACTACATACTCTACTAGGAAATGTCTGGTGACCCATTGGCACAATATTTTCCATTCGTCTCAAGGGAAAAAGAAAAGCCCTGTGTGAGGCACTGCACTGCTAGAATTTTATATTACCAGTAGCAACCATTTTAAACCACTTTAATCATAGCATTTCCCTCTTTGGACCATTTGAATTGTGCTCTAGCTGGGTAAATACTTTTCCCAACCTGGATGAGGCTAAAACTAATTTATGGCCTCCCATGATGTTCAATGGGTGTATTGTCATCTAGTCAATGGGACACAGTTTTTGTGCAAGACTTTACCTACAGTTCACAGCAGCTTTCCTATACATGTACATCTCCAGACAGAGCGAGAACAGAAACTCTTGTATTTGTGAACTCTTGCATATGATCCCATGCATTTATAAGCAACTGAACTCTTTGTTTCTTTGGTGTTTCCCTCCCCCCCCCCAGCAGAGAAAACAGACGGAGTCTATGCATCCATTTTTGGAAATGAACAAGCTGGAATCACACCATCACAGGACTACAGAGTGCTTTATGACTACACAGCCCAGGTAACGACAGGCTTCAAAATAAACATTTCATAGCGTCAGATTTAAAATAGGTGATGTTAATCCAAGCATCTTGAAAGTGTTCATTCTGTTAAGGAGGTGGTACCTTCACTTCACAGCCAGGGACACTTGCAGAATTCTTGGTCAAGGTCACAAGCAGAAGCCAGGGACTCAACTGTCAGTTCTTGGTGCACATCACTAGACTATGCTGCCTCAAGATCAAACAATAAGATTTTTTGCAAGGGATTACACATTAGTTATTAGTGTAATCACTCCCAAATTAGTGCTGAACTGTTACAACCTTCTTCTAGATATACGGGAGACTGCAAGCACAAGGAAAACTTTAGTTTTTAGGGGACAATGGCTAAGTATGCAGTAGCATGCATTGTGAACTTTTATTTCTTGTGAAACATTTTCCTAGGGAAAATGGCTACACATTCCTTGTGTAAGAAGATGTGCCAGATGTTTATCTAGGAACACTTCCCCATTTGATCTCACTTGTCCTCTGGAGCATCCCGCTCCAGTTTAACACACTGGTTCTCTATGCTGGAGAACTGAATGCCATTAAATGACCCTCTTTCTCTCTCTGCTTCAGTGGTGCAAGCTGCAGAATCACAGTGGATGTGGCCCATGTACCAAAAGACTGTTATAAAGATCAGTCTGCATCTTTAACTGAGATATCTAGGCACAGTACCATTAGTAAAACGTTGTGCATTGACTGGTTATGAATATTTTCTTATTCAGATGGACTCCAGAATCTCTTGGACTCTTGCTAAACCACTGGCCTCCCCTAATGAGTCTTTCTCAGTTTAATTACATGTCACTTTAAAGGTTCCTTTTATTAGCTTTAAATCGGCTGACGGAGTGGCATCCAGGATGTCTTATGTTAGAGTGCAGAGAGACCCTCACACCAAAGGACCTGCCTTTAATAGCCAACATTGAAGAAATGCTGGCATGTGGCAAAATAGCCAGATAACTTATGAAAGCAGAAAAAGGAAAACTTTCTCTTATGTACAGCAGCATCCTGATACCTTTTATTATATGTTCTTTGTTTGGTTTTGTTTTAAACACTCATTATTTGCTTGAAATTTCATCCAAGCACAGCGAAAAGTACCTCACTGTCAGTGCCAGTTCCCCTGAGGAGACTGCTGGATCTCTTTGTCAGATCCTTACTCCAGGAATTGCCTTAAATATACAACACACAGATTTTCCCTGCTGAGAAAAATGCCTGTTACTACTTTTTAGTATATTGAGGCTTCTCACCTTTTGAGTCCATTCTTACCTACTCAGGTACATTAAATTTAGATTTAGCTGACACACCAAATATCGGGAAGCTTCTCTTACCCTGTTTTCTATTTGACTACGCTGCAGGTAGCAAAGTGGTTTCCTACAGAAACTAGGACAGCATCACTGACCAGGCTGACAGCCACCTGAGAGCTCAGCAATAGCTTACTTGCAGCTACTCCATTTGTCTCAGAGATCAAAGTTACCTATCTGAGGGAAGAGCCACTGTACCTCCACTGTTCACTGCTGTTCCCTATTAAAAGAACTGAGAGACCTATTTAAGGCCTGGATTAGTAGAGACACTGTTATCATCTCCCTCAGGAGTTGAGCTGTGCACTGTTTTATTTAGCAACACCTGCAGACCTTGGAAGGGTCATGGTCAGCTGGTTTAGGATAGTCATATTTAACCCTTTCTGGCATTCCCCAATGATACAACAGTCACATGGCTCAGGAGGAGACATCATGAAGGCTGGAGAAATTTGGGGATCTTAAGGAAACAGCCAGCTCAGTACGTGCTTAATCCCTCACTGTCTCATATTCCAGGCTCATTCCCAACCAGGACAACACTGGCAGACTGTTGATGAAAGGCAGGGCAAAAAAGCAACCCACCAGATCTGTGCTTGGGCTTTCCCATACTCTTAGGCTAACCACATTTCCTTTCCCTGTCTCCTTTCAGAACATGGATGAACTGGACATCAGTGAAGGAGACATTGTAATTGTCATCGAAGAAAATGAGGATGGCTGGTGGACAGCAGAAAGGAATGGGCAGCGTGGCTTTGTGCCAGGGTCTTACCTCGAAAAGCTCTGATGAAAAGAATCCCCAGTCCACAGACTTTAAAAATATTCTATGACTGAAAACAAACAGCACACAAGGTCTGCTTCAGCTTATTGAGGGCAACCCCTAATACTTTTTCTACAATTACCAGTCAGAAAACAACCGACTGATGACGCTTTCCTCTTCCCTCCTCCTGCCCCATCCCAGCACCTCCCGGCCTACCCTGTCTGCAAAACTCAGCTTCACCACAGAAAGATTAGGACTTGCGTTTCTTACCACAATTATTCCTACCCTCAGAACACCACGCTGCAATCAGTGTCACAAAGCTTGACGAATCTGGGAGGAAAATCCTGCCCAGAACTTAGCTGCCTGAAAGGAAAGAGATCAAGGAAGGAAGTGCTATTTCTCCAGGAGGGAGATCTGCCTCCAGACAGCCTGTGAGCCACCCTCATGGTCACAGCAGCCATGTTCTCTGCCATGGGCTCCCTCCTCTCACTGCACAGGCCACGCAATCATTTTTGACAGTGGAGTGGAAAGCACACTTGGAAAGCAGATAGCTTTGATGTCACAGGATCTTAGCTGTATTAAGCAAGGAAGAAGCTCTCTTAAGTTCCTTTTAACAGCCTTTCAAGTTCCCCTTCCAGCACATGGGTAAACCAAGGAGAAAGGTAGGGAACCCTCCACTGCTCTTTAGAGTCACTGATGAAAAGAGGAAAAACAACAAATGCAGCTAAAGAGGAACACCTGAAGGTCCGATACACATCCGTAGTAAGAAAACATAAGGGACTCCCCATCAAAGCTCTCTCCCAATACAATGAAAGCCATGCTATCCATAGCTCTGCTTTGCCCTGGATTCTGGAGCAGCAAAATAAGGACATATGATGAGCCCAAGGCTTGCTTCTGTCTTGGTTGGACGGTTTCCCTGACAATCGTCTTGGATTTTTCATTTAAAAAAACCCAACAAATAAGCAAAGCCTCCAGCATTGCTGCAGCACCAGAGAGAAGAACCAATTACCTCCTCAAGCAGTCTGCATATTGGTGTCATCAGTTCATTCCCCTTTCAACTCTTCTGTCCACCTCTGATCCTCTCCTTCTCTTCTGCCTGCAGGTTTTTCTGTCTCAAATTGCTATCTACAGCCTCTGCACCTCTGGGATTGCTGGCATAGACATGTCCTGGTTCTTTTCCAGGCACTTCTAATGTGCTTGTTCTTCAACAAACTGTCTTCAGAGAAGTCACACTGCCCAGGTTCACTGTATTTCACAGATTTCAGCTCTATCACTCTTTCTAGTTTAGTATTTAAGAACATTTCCAATTGCCACTGTACATATCAAGGGATCGATAGACACTTTCTGCCACTCCTCCCTTTTCATTATTTCCAGATAGTTAAAAAAAAAAACAAAGAAACAAACAAAAACAAACAAACAAAAAAACAAACCAGTGATTTCATGTAAAGCAGAGAGAGCTATTTCTGGGGGCAGAATGACCTTGTTTCCTAAGGTTTCAGGTCTTAAGACTGAACCAAGTCAATGAAAATTAATCAAATTGCTACCCAAAATGCACAGAGTAAGGAGGGACTGTTAGCTAAGACAGAGGAGGAAAAACAAAGAAATCTAGACAAAAGAAAAAGCTGTAACGGTCAACACAATTATTCCTTAAATGAAACAGAATGAAGGTCAGAGGCACTTGCAGTACTTTATTCTAATTTCTTGCTTCAAGAATAGAATAAAAGTTGCTGCAAGGCCCTTTTTCTTTAGTTCTCCCCAGTCCTTTGCACAGGAACACTTGTCCTTACTATGCTTGCCCATGTTACTACACAGCACATCAGAGTGCTGAAGGCACTTATCACCTCCTGTTAGCACAGGCTCAGAGGAACTGCAGGAACTTGAACGGCATTTAAGGCACTAGGTTATATTAACAGTAATGCTCGTTCAGGCTGACAACGTTAATGACAGGTATCAGTGATCATGTCCAAACTGAGCAGTGATAGAAAGCTGGTCCACAACAGCCTTCAGCTAGGCCATCATCCTGAAAATGGCAGCTGTCAGAGACAGTCACAACATTGCTCATTATGTACAGCAGGAAAGGAAACCTAAAGTGTGAGATTTAATATATTTGCTTCTTGAACACTCAGTCTGTCTGATAAACTGTAATATACCAACAAATACATTAATAAATTTTGGTAGATAATTTGCCGATTATCTTAATCAAAGAAAAAAATATAAACAATCAAGATGTATCTCCTCTAATTATGTGCAACACTGGGATTTTGTTAAGACTCCTCACTTCTCTGGGGACCCAGACAACCTCCCACAAGACACTGCAGTACTCCGTGCTTGTTACCCTGAAATCCTGTTACAGAACATCTTTGCCTACATGTACCACATGGTCTGCAGCACTGACAGAGAGTGGAATGGTGACTGCTGCTTCTACCCCATCAAATCATGGCATGGTTTTGCTATCCAATGCAGGAAACCGGTTTCCTTTCTCTTCTTCTGTCAAGTAAATGCTGTTTTAATTGCAAGAGGCTATAGATAGCTCAAAATCTACTCAGTGTGATAGCATTTGGGTCCCACATACTGGCTTCTTACTGGTCAGGAAATGAGAAAGCAACAGCAAAGTTTTCTCACAATTCCTCTGCTTTGCAGAGAATTTGGTTGATAAGTAGTTACCAAGCTGTATCTAGGCAGTTTGCCCTATCAGTATGGCAGCACTTGTCAGAAATAGAACAGAGATATCGAGAAATACCCCCACCCTCTGACTACATCCACATTTTAGGTGTCATCCACCCCTCCAGTCACTAGGAAAAGCAGGAAGGTCAAATATAGGTTACTGTCTTAATAATACTACTTTAATAACAATGTTGATAATACTTGGGCAATGAAACTGACACATTTGAGTAATCATTTAATTTTCAGGTAAAATAGGAAACTGAAATAGGTTCTTTCCTGTGGGAGGCATTCTCAAACTGAATCCCAACATCTTTGGTTGAAATTCTTTTGGATAAACACTTCTGATATGCCCCCACTTTGATTTGGACTTCCATTTTTTGGCAAGGAGGTGCTAAGCAATATGCAGGGACAAAACAACAGTGACAGACAAAGTTGTGTGTTTATCAAGTTAACCTCTGTTTCATAGTGTTCTCACAACAAGCAGACCATCTCTTTACTGACACTGGTGGTGCTATGGCTCTGGGCGAGTTCACACACAAGAAGCTGTTCTCAGAGAGCAAGGAACATACTTTTGCCAGCTGCTCTTTAAGGAAGGAACCTAATTACCCACTTAAAGCCTATGGCTATTATCTATATACAGACAAACTAATTAAAGCAAAGTTACAATAAACTTATTGAGCTGTTTTTCACCTAGCACTGTGGGACTTCAGTTTGCACAACAGACACCAAGTATTTAATACTGAACAAATTCAGACCTGTAACTGTTAACTCTGGAAATTCTGACTAGTCGTAAAAAACTGATATCATCTATCCATTAAATATGAGTTGCAAGAGAGACTGGGAGTACTTTCCTTCACAAACTGCAACAGAATAGAAAGGGACTGACGTTGACAGCCTGAGGAATGCGGCCATGAGACTACTATGACAAAGTGTAGTGGTAATCTGTTCTATTATTCCTTTAACTGCAACAAGAATCCAAAGGTACAGAAGTATGCAATCTAGCCCAACAGCACCTTTAAGCCTGGCTCAGATACGCACATTATTCTGTTTTACCATGTTGTTATTAAGGAGAAGAACATGAAAACCTGTTTACAAATAACGTTTAACCAACAACAACCATATGCAATTAATAAAGAGCTACAAGAGCCGTGTGAGGCCCATATCTGCACAGAATAGATTTCTGCTGCTGCATATGGCATTAAGACTCTACAACCCAGTAGTAAAACTTGGTCAAACAAAGTATCATCAGAGTAGAAACAGAGACATCCAGGTGACCCAGCTCTAGGATGTCTAGGATGGCCAACGCAGTCAGTGCTTCGCCAGTGGAAAGGACCTTCTGCCAAGCTCACAGGTCCAGCAACAAGCAGCTAACTTCTAGGGAATTTTACAACTAGTCAGCTGAAAGGAAGAACTCAACCCCTTTACAGCTCAGCAGTCAGCAACAGCAGGAGCACAGTGGCTGTTCAAGGTTTGAGGTGTTTGCCACCTCCTTGAGGACTGTGGCTTGAACTCTGTATGACAACCCCAGAATATTTCAACCAAAGTGTTGACATATCATATATATAGGATGTAAACAGTAATGGCTCTTACCTTGGATTCCTTCACAAGGTGCACTCAACGTCTGAATCTCTTTTTCAGAGGCAATTTTCAATGCAAAGACTCCTGATAGCAACTCAGACCTCACTGATTACTGAATGCAGCTTAAGTGGAAGCACATGGATGCTAAGTGGAGATTCATTACAAGCCAGGCATCAGGTGGTGTCTAATAGGTACCTGGCTGGGCATTAAGAAACATCTAACTTAAGCAGCAGTGGATAACTAATACACTACTTCTCTAGTACTATGTAACCTCTTGGCTGTATCATTGCTAGCTGGCTTAACCATGCAGGCTTAGAGAACCGAGGGTTCTCTACACCAGTACTACACAAACACAGTATGCTGCACTGAAAGGTCACTGTTAACCTGCAGCGTAGACTGGCAACAGCTCTTCACAGTACAGGACAAACCGTAAAGGCCTGAAAAGCAGCCTCTGTTGCTCAACACTGTCTCTTTACCTGGTTTTGTTGTCCTCAAGCTCGCAGGGCTGAGGCACTGAAAGCAAGGGCAGTTACGAGCCACATAGCTACCAACACTTCATATGTCCTCAAAGAGAAACTACGCTCATTACGAGTAAGTAAGGAGAGCAGGAAGGTGCCCTTAGCTTGGCCTTCACCCCAAGATCCACGTTGCTTTCCTGCCAATGGGGTTACAGGCACAACCAAGTGGCCAAGCCCTCAAGATAAACAGAGTTGGCTGCTACAAAACAAAACTAAACCCAGTATTAAGTTCAGTCACTACCACCCACCAGCTTCCCCAATTAATAC